TCAAGTTTGCTATAATGAACACTGTCAGCAGTTTCGTAAAAAGCAATCTAGATAAGAAGGGCCACCTGAGTCATACTAGAAGTTTCTTCTTCTCAGGCATGCCCTTGCAAAATTATTGTTATTTGAAGCATCACATGCTATATGCTACTGACGAAATTTTCTCATCACTATTCCATTGTGAGGGGATAAACTTATATTACCATTCCATGTTTAATGCGGTGAAAAAGTTGGTTAATACTTCAAGATTTCATCAGTCCTGAGAACATAACCGTAACTTCGGAACCCACGGTTATATTGTTTATATCTGAGTAGTGAACCAACAGAACTCTCTACTGAAGCATATGGTCTTGGAATCTTATTTTATTCTCCTCAGAGTTAGCCTGTAAGGCTGTCCGAGGAAATTAATACTGTCCTGAATTAGTGTTTTCTTAAATTTGGAAATTTGTCCAACACAGCTATTTAATTTCAAGGTTGATCAGCGCGTTGAACAAATGTCGTGAACTACGGTGGGTTTGTCATTGCAATTGGTGTTAGGTTGATAGTGTTATTTTTATCCTGGCATGGTTTGTCTAGAAAAATGTTCGAGACTAGTTGTTAACGTAGTTCTTGAGTTGGGACTGCTAGGTATTCACGTACGTTGTTGGTTGGACTATTTAAGGATCAAGAATAAATGGTATAATCTAAAGGGAAATTATGGCTTTGTCTCGAAAATGTTTCTGTTGATACTAATGACGAAAATAAAATCTAGTATCCTGTAGAACAGATTAGATTTGTGTAAAATCTTAGCATTAAACCTCGAAGGCTAGTAGTCGGAGCACAATTGAGTTAGCGGAAACTTGTACTCCATATGTAGGGATTGCATAGTAAGAGGAAGATAATGTGAGTACCCTGATAGGTAAATAATTCAACAGGATTAATGAACTTCGTCGCAGAAAATGACTAATCTAGCACTATATTGATTGACAGCTCATATATTATAAACTGCCTTCTGACTCTGCTTCATTCTGTTTCCCAAATTTTTCCCTCGAATACAATATACGTATGTATCACCGTTATACGTTCCTAACGCTCGTGAAAAAGCTTGTGTGGACTAACGGTTACTGTTGTTCTGTAGTCAACTAGACACTACTTTACTTACCAAAACTTTGCTGGATAGCCAAACGTCGGTCTTGCGGAAATGCTTGCTTAAGCTAAACCAATTATGGGATTGGATCTTGCATGATTCTGCTTTATGCCAAGATGCTGTTTCTTATCTTCATACTCCATATGTTGCCCACTTGTAAAATTTATTTTCCTATACAGTTAAAACGTAAGGTTATTTTTTCTGATCTGCGGTTTGGTATGATACTTTTGGCACCTTATTCCATACGCTAAATATTACTGTAAAATTGAAGCGTGTTTGCCATTTATATGGGTTATAAAGGGGTCACTTGAAATTTATAGCTTCAATAAATTCCCTAATAACTCATGATATCATTGCACAATATTGTGTCACTCAGTTGGAGAAGTTAGTTACATTCCTCCCATTAGCATAGCAGATTGATCCAGTTATCAATAGGGCACTCGTCTTATTTCAAATAAACTTATTTGATGTGAAATTACATTCTACCTAGGTGTCTAGATTCTATACTTAAGTTAGTATTGTTCATTTATGCACTCTGATGAGCCGACAGCTCCTGTGTTAGAATCCCACCCCATCTACTTCAGCCTGGTTAACTGAGTAGTATCACCAGCACTCATACAATGTCTAAGCCTGGCACATGAAAAATATGTTTCTGTTAATTGGGTAGAGAAGTGAATAAAAATAGCCAGACAAAGTCAAACACATGCTTTAAAAATCCCTAGTTTGTCACTGTGCGTCGGTGGCACAGTTGTTAAGACTCGCCGACCATGCATATGGTCCGGGATTCGATCCCCTGCCGACGCACACCTGATATCTACGGTCGGCCTGCAAAATTTGGGCTACCGATATCACATACTAAAAATTCCATACTTGTACCAAAAATACGGTGTGAAATCAGGCTGTAATAAAAAAAACTTCATATTGTCAACTTTTTCAGTTAGTAAAATTGCCATATGCATACTCTTAATTAGCTGTAGTATCCGTAGCCAAGAGGTAATGTGTGGAACTAGAAGTCTAATGCACACGTGGTGAGTGAGAACGAAGAGTAGAAGTCATTCCTGGATGCCTCTGTATGTAGTTGCTAAGTGACAACCCACATATCGACAGCGAAGAGTTTGGTAAAAACTAATTTGTGGGAACAAAGTAGTCTTCAAACCCTGACGAGTATTCGCTTTCCGTAACCTTTGGTAGTTTCTGGAACACCAGCATCTGGAAGTTGCAATATTTTTGGCCTGAAATCTGTATTTTCCTCAAAATCGAGAGATGGCTTGTCATAAAAGTATTATGGTGGTCAAGCCATTTGAAATCAGGCGTGTAAAGGCTTACACAAAGTTGTCGTCTGGAGTGATGGCGCTAATTATTAACCTTTCGGGAATCAGCTTGTTACTACAAAAAGGTCTCATTGATGTAGAATCGTCAGATTATGATGTGTGTTTGTTTTGGGTAATGTTAACAAAATGAGATTTCCTGAACACCCTTAGCAAAAATCGGTGTTCTGGCATAGAGCCCACTCCTAGTTGGTGAGTAGAGTAAACTCTTTGATTGTATTGCTGTTTTCACTTATTTGCGTCAGTTTTAATAGATTGGTTGGTGACAAAATCTCAACATGCATATTAAAGGCTCGCTTGTCATTTGACTTTAGCTTAAGCTTGTTATCTAACCAACTATCAAAGGGATTTGCTGTCCTATTTTACTCCTATACAATATGGTTGCTGAAAGTAGAGGTAGGAAGATTAAAGATTGTTGGTCAAATGGCTGAAGTAAGCTAGATTATCAACAATCATTTGCACGTCTTCGTTCAGTTTTCCATGTCAGATAGGGCAGTATGAATAATAATTAGTTCGGGGCAGTGTTAAGTAAGGATGGAAAGACTATAATTATTGATTGAGGCACTTGAGACGTACTACGTATGCGTAACCACCGCCATCCTTAAAAAGCGATATCAACCGAATTGGGATTAGGTCGTAAACAAATTAGGAATAGCCAAACAAAACGCTGCTTAAATGGATGAATTCATTGATTTGAACCACGTAAATGGTTGTTGGTTTACTCGGGACTATAAGGACCACTGGTACGATGCACCAGTTTTTGTAAATTGTGCTAGTTTCAGTTGGGCAGTGTAGTTTCTACCGTGGTACCTAGTGCCATGCGCACACGTAAAGTTGTGAGAGCTGGCTGTTTTAGGATCTGCCCCAACGGATTGATCTCTGACGAAATCTCAGCAAGGATACAGTGGGCTCGTTTCGCATTTGCCACTTTACGCCGTCTCTGGCGTAGAGGAGATATTCGACTGTCGACCAAAGGGCGGGTGTACTGCTCATCAGTCCGCTCCGTCCTCCTTTATGGTTGTGAGACCTGGCCATTGAGAGTGGAAGACATGAAAAGATTGGCTGTCTTTGATCATAGGTGCCTGCGTTCTATTTCCCGTGTAAAGTGGTATAATAAGGTGAGCAATATTGAGGTTAGGCGTTGAGTTCTAGGTAAGGAAGGGAAATCAATTCATGAGGCTGTGAAATCACATCGACCGAGATGGTTAGGACATGTGTTGCGTATGCCTTCGACGAGCTGATATAGGGTCAGACTGGAAAAGAGCTAGTGGAGGTCAAACCAAAACATGGCACCAGTCAATGGAATCTACAACAGTTGGTGTAAGCCACGTAAGTAGGTGTAGACTGACTTCCGGTTTGGGGTCCTCGGGACGGTGGCGCGGTGGTTAGGACTCTCGCCGACCATGCTTATGGTCCGGGGTTCGAGCCCTCGCCGACGCACACCTGATATCTATGGTCGGCCTGCGAAATTTGGGCTACCGATATCCACGCTGAAAATTCCATACTTGTACCAAAAATACGGTGTGGAATCAAGCTGTAATCAAAAAAAAAAACCAATGGTTAGAAACAATTGGTGACATGGCTCAAAATCGTTCTCAGTGGCGCAGATGCATCCACTCCTTGTGACTTATGATTTCCAATGAAACTGTTTTGTTCTTCGTTATTACTATTCCTTTGTCTCACACCTCTGTTTACTGTCTCTATTATGCATTTCTACTTTCTTCTCTTGCTTTGTGTGCTACATGGAGTGTGGCGACTTGAACTGCCGCACATCGGTGCAAAGTTCTATATCGAAAACAGACAGACACACAGACGTTATTGGTGCATAAAATTTGACAGTCAAAATCAAACAAATGACCGCATTGAGGTCTTCTGCACGAATCCCACAAACACACTTCATATCTATGGCACTGGATACTAGGTTTTTTAGTGAAATCCGTTAACTGGTGAGTTAGGATAAGTAAATGAAAAGCTGTGACATGCAAACTAAAAAATACTCACTAATCAGGTTAGTTAGTGGTGACCAGATTTCATTCACTAACAAAAGCTAGAATTCATGGTCCATTGAATCCCAATCCAGTAACTAAATGGTGACGTATGTATTAATTCACGGCCTTCAGTCTCGAAGATTTTGATTTGCGAACTTCTCCAACTACGTGATATTGTTTTGTCTTTATGTTTAATTCACTAGGCTAGTTGTGTGTATACCGAAGAAGTTGATAGTATTTGTGTTAAAACCAAGACAAATTTTATAGTTTTGTATCAAGAACCAAATGCTTGGGTGATAAGAACACCTGTGTTAAGTGTGTGTGTAACATGACGTATACGAATGCGAGATTAAATGTTAAGAACCCCATTATCTTGACCATTTGTACACCATGGGTAAGCTACTTCCGGTCATTGAATGAAGTGCTGTTTTATATTTTAGCCTTATCTGCATTAAAAATCTCGATGTTCAGCTGTATTTTATCACTTTTCAAAAACTTGGCACCAGTCAATGAAATCCACAACAGTTGGTCTCAGCCACGTAGGAAGGTGTCTGTCTGTCTGGATTCAACATAGAACTTGGCACCGAAGTGCAGCAGTTCGAGTTGCCACCTTCCAAATAGCACAGAGGTAGACTTCTAGGCTGGGGTCCTCGGGACGGTAAAAATCTATGGTTGGAAACAATTGGTGACATGGCTCAAAATCGTTCTCAATGGCGCAGATGCATCCACTCCTTATGACTTATGATCTCCAATGAAACTGTTTTGTTCTTCGTTATTACTCCTTTGTCTCACACCTCAGCTCACTATTTCTATTATGCTTTTCTTGTACTTTCTTCTCTTGCTTCGCGTGCTACACGGAGTGTGGCGACTTGAACTTCCGCACATTTGTGCAAAGTTCTATGTCGAAAACAGACAGACAGACAGACTTTTTCCACTAGATCCAGTACTGATAGCTATATTCACATTACAACAACATATTGTTTGAGGATTCATCAATCTTAAACACCAGCTTTGGCATACCTGAAAAATAGTATGACCGGGTATGTTTCTATGTCTCTTTTGCCGAACTTTTAGGTGTGTGTAAAAGTAATCATTTATTACTGTTTCTTTATGAAGAATTTGAACTGAAAAACTTTCATACTGTTTATAGAATAGCTTTCTGACTCACGTCATACTTTACAATTTTTGAATATAGTTTATTGCATACGTTTATCGTATACGTTTGTTAGATGTATTGAAGTTGAGTAGTCGTAGTACTCTTAACCGACTTGCTGTATAGTTGGCTCATGCCTGAACCATCATTAAAGATGATGATTGGAACTGTGAAACGTTGACTGAGCTGAATGTTAATCTCAGAATTTCGCACAAAAGTACAGCACTTCAAGTCGCCACACCTCATAAAAGCACACAAAGATAAAAGGAATGCAAAGAAACGAAAATATACGTTAGAAAGAATAATTACGTGTAGAATGTTGAAAATTTGATGAGCCCAGGGGTTCACAAAGACTGAATGCATCTGTACAATTTAGAGCTATTTTGAGCCATGTCATCAACAGTCTCAAGCCATTGGTTGTCATCGTCTTAAGGACAACAATGATGTCCTCACGTCTATGTGTAACTCAAACTCAACCGTAGACTTCATGGATTGATGCCATGTTTTGATTTGACTGCTCGTAAGTTTTTTTCAGTAATAATCCTGTCAGTTAATATTTCTCGACGAGTAAAGTGGTGACTTGAGATGCGTAGACATCTCAATCGATAAAGTTTCACTATTTCTGTGGGACTAATTCGCTAAAGTAGATAAGGGTCACATTCACTAGTGCGTCTGTGGAATTGAATAAAAACACAGACATTGAACATTCCTGATGGACACCACTGGTTGTCATCATTTCAGACGTCAATTCTTCATAAGCCGTTACATAACTGCTTGAATTCGCGTAGACTGCTTTGATTAGTGACATTAATCCCTTCATAGCCAAACAATGCCACAGCACCTCTCGATCGCTAAAGTCAAATAACGCCTTTAGATCAAAAAGGTGGCAAGTGTTAGACGTCGGTAAGTATGCCTATGTTCTAGAATTTGTCGAAGGGTAGGTGTATGATCAATACACCCTCTTCTGGATCTGAAGCCCTGCTGGTTTCCATGGTCTCCTTTCTCCTAAGGACCATTTAGTCTGCTCATGATTGTTCAGTCTAGAACTCCAAATGCTATATTAGCCAAGCTTAACTCCGTATTGATTATCACAAGAAGACTTGTCTCTCTTCTTATAGACTGAGATAATCTGTCTGTCTGTCTGTTTTCGACATAGAACTTTGCACAAATGTGCGGAAGTTCAAGTCGCCACATTCCGTGTAGCACGCAAAGCAAGAGAAGAAAGTACTGAGATAATCACTGATTTAAACCAGTTTATCAGAACTATTTCTGGTTCCCACACGTTACCTGACGTCTTATCGTAGTCATTAGTTTATCAGGTTGACTAGGTTCTTTCAGAATGGTATTATCTGTGTTTCGAAAAATTTTGTTCACTTCATTTTTAACTCCCAGTCGTACATTGTTTTCTGAAGTCCATGATTGTGTTATACGCAATCAAGAAATATCAAGTAATTATGTTGCATTGTATTAATAAAACGACAGAAGACGAAGACTTGGTAAAGGAATGTTAAACTTGGAAATCGGCGTCTCTAGAGAGCCAAATTATGTATACCGTATCTTTCAACGCACTATTTCTACAGATCTTCCGTGTTGTGCTCCTTCTGTCCCTCATATTGTGTTTCTTTGTGTTCCTTTCATGTCTCGCACAACGCTGTATCATTCGTCTCCTCTGAAATCAAATGTATCTCCCTGTTATTTGATGTTTCCATGCCGATGAACATTTCTGCTTATAACACTCACAAATCTTGTCAGTAGTACTCGGCACGTTACATATTTTAATTTTCAAGTATTGGTTTTTTAGGCATTTTTTTGTTTGATTGCATGGAGGATTTCATCATGGAATGACATCAGTTAGAGAACTACTGATGTCAGCCCATGTTGAAATCCTCCATGCAATCAAACAACAAAAATGCATACAAAACCAATACTGGAAAATTAATCGGATGCGCACTAGTAACTGGCCCTATTCAGGCAGTGACCTGGGGTTCTAGTGAGAAGCCGTGACTAGTAGGGTAGGGCAGATTGAAGATGAAGAAGACACTGCGAAATTGTCGCGCTATGTCGTGAATTGGCAGAAGTTAGAATTCAAAGACCATTGGATCGGGTCCCAGTGGCTCGATGGTCTACGAGCTCACCTTGTAACCGGAGGGTCTTGGGTTTGAATCCCGGTGGGTGCGTACTGATGAAGAGCCCCGAACATATTTAATCACTAAGTTCGACTAGTGAAATTTATTAGGCTCAATTAACTACCAAAAGAGTGCTGTTGGTCATTCATTTTCAACAGAGCCTACCGTCATCACAAAATATTCAAACAGTTACCAGTAATTATGAAATCGATAAGTCACCTCAATTTAATATTTCAAGAAGGTTACAAAGTATCAACTGTTCTGATCCTGCAAAGTGTTAAAAATACTGTTCTAACTGAAAATCTTCTACGTCTCATTCTGTCCTGATGCGATACTGTTAACACCGTTTGAATAATCGAACAAAGTATCTATTTGCAGCTATCTGATTCGTATAATTCTATTAGTTGATATCGACTAATAAGGGGGCCAAATGCGTCAAGGTGTACGACCTCACTTCAAATGGAAACAGTTATATAAATATGGTGAATGGTAAGGTTCTTCAGGAATATTACAAAATATAAAATCATTCGCATAGTTTACGATAAATAGAGAATACTTTTAATTTGTTTTACATTCTAATTACTTTTTGTGTATTTCACTTTTCCTCCACTCTTTCTCTCTCTAGATATTGATGATTACATGGACCAAACGGATGAAGTGGTGCTGATAAGTCATGAAGCCAAGGAATTCTACGATGAAATTCGTGGGCTAGTCGTCGTCTTTCTAATATTCACCTTTTTATTCCTTATCGCGCATACAATATTACAATTGTTTCTAACTAAAACAGAATATGAATTAAAACCGTGTCGAGCTGAACGCTTAGTCTATCAACTAGTCTTGGGCATGTGTACATTTATCCTGACAATAGGCTTAACTTCATACAGTCTATTACCATTGACTATTATAACAAATGAAATATTAGTTATCTTTCCACAGTCGTATTATGTACAATGGTTAAATAGTGAATTAATACAAGATTTAATCTTGTTGATTGATATCGGCAGTAAGATATCCTGTCTAACTATACCCTTCTCTTACTTTCTTTTAATTTCACAAGGATTTCTACACAAATCCTATTCATCGTTTGCTTCACGTTTAACAGACTCCTTCATTATGGTCTTCTTCTTTTACATTTTATGCTTTGGTACAGTTTGGTCTTTAAGTAGTTTTGTATCAGCTTTAAAGGGTTGTTTCCTTTCAGATGTTAGTGGATTATCTTTTAGTGGTAGCGATAGTATTAGTAGTAGTAGTAAAACATTTTCCATATTCACTGAGCGTTATCATCAATCGTATCCTTCGTCTGCTCCCAGTTCTGTTGACCATCATGCCTATTATCAAAACCATCCATTTACATTCCTACAGAACTCTATCAATTCTATTGGTTGGATACAATTTTTTCAAAATGTTTGCCTCCAAGTAATCTTTATGTCAGGCTTAGAATTGATTCAAATGACAGCGACATTATTAGGACTTTTATTATTGTTTATCTGTACACCAATGGGTTTATTGTCTATCAGTATAAATTTAGTTGCATTCATTATGCGCTCTTTATCGGATTCACCTACAAGACAGACATTGTATGATCGTATTGAAGAATTGAATATGGAAACTATGACTGTTTTAGACGATATGAAGTGTATACAACTGTTGTGTGAAGAAAAGAATCTAAATAATAATAATAATACTAATGACAATGCTATGAATTATAAATCTATATGTTTTCGAACTTATACTGGTGTTAAATCTTGCGAAGATTTATTATTGAAGTGTACAAATGAATTCAATTCATTAAATACAGAATTATTACAACTTAAACAACGTATAACACCACAAAGATTCACACCATTTACACGTGATTCTATACCACTGTTCGTGAATTTTTGTTTAGTTCTACTTTGTCTTTTATTACGATTATTGCAATCATTTGTATTCTTCAATATTTTGGATCTTCTATGGAGTATGTTTTTTGGAAGTTATGCTAGTCGAGATGACAATGCTGCTGGTTATCTTACAATGGGTAGCAGTAAACAGTATCCATCAACTACAATGGGGTCATCAGATCCTAGTTTTACAATTGGCGTAAAACCAGTTTCTTCTCTTGGACATATTGGAGCTGTTTTTCAGGTATAATAGAATATTTTGTGTGAATTTTATTTTTTCCACTTGTTATGGATGAACACAAATAGCATTATAAACTTAGAGTAATCTCAATTCTCAATATTTGAGTAAGGCTTTGATGATATTAAATGGTTGGAGGCAATCGGCAGGAAGCCTTGTATCTAGGTTTCGTGCTAGTTGGCACTCACCAGTCACCAGGAGGAACTCATGTCACCCAGTGCTGCAGTCAGAGACGGGCTCGCGACTGACCTCCTGTAGGACTGTAGTGGATATTTTGATTTGACACTAGTAACTAGTGTGTTGTGTCTAGTCCTTTCTTCGCTGTCGACTGAATTCTATCAGTCAGGTTTGTAATTTGGTAGCTCGCCATCACGGTGCACATTGATTTGATGATATTAGATAGTTGGAGGCAATCGGCAGGAAGCCTTGGACCCAGGTTTCGTGCTAGTTGGTACTCATCAGCAAGGCGTATCTGCAACGTTGAAGGAACTCATGTCCCTCCTGAGTAATGCTTGTCAGCATCTGAAATGATAATATATGACCTATAGAGATTCGGATAGGTTAGTAGTTTATTCAGTTCTCGTCAGCCTAAAAAGTTCTGAACATCTTACATCATCCTGTTCATGGTTATTGAGTTATATTATATTCTTCATTCTCTCCCAGTGAGAGTTTATGAACATGGCAGGAGGTCTATGTTAATTACTGTTTAATAATCGACCCGTAATCTCAAAATAACTCTTATATATGCCTAACAGCATTACTATATTTCCCCGTTTGACAGTTTTTGGGTAAATTCGTATTAATCAAGCATGCCTCATTTAGAATAGATGGTTTTCTGAACTAAATACGTTTTAGTAGATGTTAGTATGCATATCCATCGTAAGAGTGAGAACTGCTTCGTTCTATACTTGTGTGCGTCGGTGGCACAGTAGTTAGGACTCTCGCCGACCATGCACATGGTCCGAGGTTCGATCCCCTGACGACGCACACCTGATATCTATGGTCGACCTGCAAAATTCGGGCTACCGATATCACATGCTGAGAATTCCATACTTGTACCAAAAAATGCAGTGTGGAATCAAGCTGTAATCAAAAATAAAATAAAAATAACTTGGTCAAAAGCCTCATAGAATTTCGGAAAATTGAAGTATCAACCCTCGCTTATTTTTTTTCTTGAGTATTTTGAATATTTAAATAGGGACTTTATGTGTCCTACCATTGAAAATTATTTTTTAAGAATTGTTTGTGTTTTCAAATCTTTGCATTTCTAATCTATTATCGATCTAAACTTACATTCTAGGTCTGTTTGGTAGTATTCCTCGTTGTTCTGGGTTTATGGGGATTCTACTCCCTCCCATTTGTTGGTTTTCTTCGACCACGATATCATTCAACCAGTTTAGACATTATGCTGGTAAATGTCTTGTTATTTTTAATATTGAGCACTGCACTTCCTTTACAAACAAATCTACTTGGATTGACCACGCTTACATTGCCCAATCCACTGAAATCTGATTCAGTCATATCTACGCAATCGAAATGCTCAGATCTAGTCTGTAATCCATTGGAAAATGAAAGTGATTGTGACCAGTATATTGCTAATTGTCCAAGTAAAAAGTTGAGTCAAATATCCAACAGCTGGTGGAATAAATTGATTGGTGATTATTATTATTTTGATTTCACCTATTGGTATTCATTTGTACATGTACTGAATCCATTCACCTCCTCTACACCTGCCGACAGCTTAGAAGAGTCAACTACCGTTAACCAGATTCAAACTGAAGAACAAACAATTTTTCGTCAGTTTGTATCTCGAGCTTTTGGCTATTCATCAGTTTCGCCTAGCTATGAATTAAGTGTAGTGATATTAATGTATAACATCTGTTTCCTGATTACTTCAATGTGGATTGCTGGTCGACAATTAGGAAATGCAGGACTATCTATGAATTTGGATTTAGTAACAACACTTCGATGTTTGCATCAATTTGACATTACATCAAGGCCGCCTAGATCAAGTCTAGATCGTACTGAATGGATGGCTGCTGAACTATCTTGTCCGAAAAATCCAGAAGAGTTAGATCAAAGTGTTGTATGCTAAAAACGAAGTATTTTCATTACTGTTTGTGTGTGTGTGTGTGTGTATGTGCCAAATTACCTGCAGTATGTGTGTGTGCACGTAGTATTTTCATTGCATTTCATCTCGTTTTCTATATCCTTACGGAAGGGGACCAGTCAAACTTACTTAATCCACTTTTCACTTTAACTAATTACATTACAACACTATGCAAGTTCTAAATTTTCTTTTTGTTTCTATATTCGCTTATAGTCTCTCTCTTTGTCTGTCTTGTTATTCAATATGGTGGCGGGAGTTGTACAAAAAGTTGTTTTCTATTTTCTTGATTGTTTATATTAATATCTTACTTTTGTTTTATTTAATTTTTCTATTTTCAAATATTTCGGCTTTTGGATTTTTCTCATTTTCGACAATCTATTTTTCTGTATTGCACAATTACAAACAGTCCTAAGTTAGATTTTCTTTTTCTTTGTATATATCTATACTTGCTCACTAAGTAAGCAGCAAAGCGGATATTACTATTAACATTATTATTATTACTATTGTTGTAATTTCTACTTTTTATTTCTTTGATTCAGGTAATTTTCATTTTATTTTATTGTATCTAGATAGTTCGCTATTCTGATTAACAACACACATATATAAGTAGTTGAAATTTTGTTGTCTGTTTGTTGTGCATTTGGGGTGTGTGTGTGGGTGGGAGTAGATCCATAACACTTGCTGTCAGTTAACATGCATCCTGATGTGTGAATAGTAGTGAAGAAATGTTTTTGCTTTTGGAAGTGTGTGGGCGGTTGTTACTTCCCGACTGGCAACACCGTGGGGAAAGTTTATTGATTCTTCGGGTATCTGAAACAGAGAGAGGGTTAGTGGTTGCGTGACCGCAGAGCCCAGGGGACAACTACTTGAGGCTGGTGACACATGGTCTGTATGAACTGGTTTCTGGGATTGGTTCCCTATTAGTAAACTTACCGCTGGTTACGGAGCATCGTAGGGTAAGTCGGGATGTACAATTTTTGGGGTCGACGTTTTCTAACCCTTTCTCTCCGGAGTGGAGAGACAGCATAGCTGACTGGCATGCTGGTCATCTGAGGGAAACACCTTACTGCCGTTATATCCCTGTTCTCCAGCAGAACGACTTCGCCCATACACCCCAAGTATAGTGTAAAAAAGAAGAAATCTTACACTATGTCGGTAACTGCTTTTAGTCTAATCGCTATCCTAACAACTTTCCTGTCATGGTAAGACTTTCTGGAAAATTGGTTCCAGCCAGTGTAGCTTGTTGGGTCATCGCGATGTGCAAGCCCGACCACCACGTCAAGGTAGCAGCTAACGGTCGGGCGTAGCAGCTGGAAACATTTGGTGATATGGCTCAAAATCGTTCTCAATGGCGGAGATGCATCCACTCCTTGTGACTTATGATTTCCAATAAAACTATATTGTTCTTTGTCATTACTATTCCTTTGTCGCACACTTCTGTTTACTGTCTCTATTATGCATTTCTTCTACCTTCTTCTGTTGCTTTGTGTGCTACAAGGAAGGAGTGTGGAGACATGAACTGGTACACATCGGTTCAAAGTTCTATGTCAAAAACAGACAGAGGAAATGTTTATTAACAGGTTTATAGTATAAAGTAGAAACAGACTGACATGAAATATTAGTCAAAATAGTTCAGGGAATCACTCATTGATGATAATGAATTTGAATTAAGTTTGACACGCTACCAATATGCTTTCCAAGGGGGTCTTATGGTATTTAACGTCATGTTTAGTATGGATTATTTTAATTAATGTCTGTCTACAGTGTACTCTGTCCTCTAGAAGGAAATTGATGTGCATACTGGGCAGTCAGGAGCTGCTTCCACCCATCCCTGTTCATAGTTGCCGGTGACCGAAACAGGTCCTTGTGCCATTCAGTCATTTCGGATTTTGAAGTCTATGTACGCCATAGGTTTGGAATCAGGGTTTTCCGGTTACACTAGGTAAACTTGCACGTTCATCAGCCTGGTTCTAATCGCTAGACATTCGCAATCACTCTTTCACTTTTGTGTTGAACACCCTCGCTACGCATGATAGCAGTGAATATGACGTACTTCGCGGAGGTTATGAACACGTCGATACATGAGAAAGCATTTCTAGAGAAAGACCAATGTCTATTCATCTTCATCCGTACCAGATAATTTATGGGGCTATTATTTCAATAGAAAATTAACTTGAATTTTAAAGGTCCATGGAGTAATTTTAACCTTAAGGCTACTTTTATTTTTAGTGATGATGTCACCGAAAATATGTATTGAGTCATGGAGAAAATACAAGACAATTCAGCGAAGAAAATTTTCTTCATCGACGAAATCATCTTCAGAGGCTGCACAGTCGTATTCATATATACCAAAAATGTATAGTAGTCTGTTACTGAGTGATGATAGGAGGTGACATAAGTGATAAAATTTACTCAGAAGTGGCTTCAGAAGTAAAAAAGTAGTAGTTATAAATTGCGTAATACTGAGTAGCACATTGGAACAAAGGGTTAGAAATTTGATAAAGTTAAAATTGTTATTGACTGAGAAGAAAGGGAGTTGAGTTTCCATTTAACAAGTGTGAAGAGGGTGTGAAAATGTACAAAAGGAACATGTGAGAGTGATAATAGTGAATTAATTATTAAAGTAAAAGCAAAGTAATTATTAGAGGTAAAAATCTACAGGGAATGACTAGTGAAGAGGTTAAGACCATAGCAGAATAAGAGAGTGGACAAACTTTTTCTGTATACAGGGTTCGGGGTTGTATTGATGAACTGTCAACGCCTTCACCATACACAAATGCTGACCTTTGTACCGTTTGACCTCATCTGTGTGCGTCGGTGGCACAGTGTTTAGGACTCTCACCGACCATGCACCTGGTCCGAGGTTCGATCCCCTGACGACGCACACCTGATACCTATGGTCGGTATGCGAAATTTGGGCTACCGATATCCATGCCGAAAATTCCATACTTGTACCTAAAATACAGTGTGGAATCAAGCTGTAATCAAAAATAAAAAAAATAAAATCAAAAATTTTGTAGATAATTTTGATAGGCGACTCTGGTGGAGCTATATGGCTTGACTTCAATAAATGCTGGAGGACTGAGCTAGCAACTGTCTTGCATTGCAATAGTGATTTCTGTTAAAATATTTTCATTTTTAGTCAAAAATTAATTTATAATATTAATTGACATTTCCATTCTGAAGGGGAATGATAGATGTAACACTTAAAATCATAGCTGAAAATTCTTCCATCAAATTAAAAGAATGCCTGAGATGAATATTAGAGAACAGTAGAATTTCATTCTATATTTGGTTGGTATATATATGATAAAAAAGCACCGATTGTAGGATTAAATTGGCCTGCAGATATTTTGTCCTCATTATCAGTACTGATGATACAGAGTCTAGACCTCGTTATAATTGAAACTCAGGTGATTTAACGTAAACTTTACCTGTCACTAAAATATAGAGGAAACAATACAATTACACAAAGGTAACTGTCCTTCAGTGAATAATAAAGACATACTGAACAGTATTGCTGTGTGGAGCAAAATGATTGATGAATAACATTTAAGTACATATACAAATAAATGCTCATCCAAGGTCAACCACCATTGGTGAGAATTTACATTAAAATAACCAATAATCAGAAGAGACAAGGTCAGGTCGTACTGATTAGTGGATTGTCATAACGTCTGTCTATCATCATTAACACTGATGTAATGCTGTTTACTAAATGTCTTGAGTAAAATTCATTGAATTACAAATTATCTGATTGATGTGATAGTGATTAATATAATTAATGAGTAGTAATTATTGATCCCAACATCACCTTATGCATAGTACTTCGTCATTTTGTAGCATGTAAAGTGATTAAATGAAACGCAGTCACTGAAGTTGATATTCAATTCCAGAACGAAGGATTTGAATCCTATTCATCAAAGGCGATTACTGACTTTCCAGCATCTTTTCAGTGAATTTATTATTATTATTGTTCCCTTGGGTTCCGAGTGGAATATACAACATCAACTACACACCAACACTTAGTTCTAATTTCTGTCATCCTCTTAAGCTCGGTCGACGATTGCCCAAACTCCCTCATCTCTTCTTCGCACGATGTCCTTCATGTCACCCTCTCACCGACGACACAATAGTCTTTTTCCATTGGGATTCCATTCGAACGATGGCCTGCATTGCTCACGATGTCATTCGATGGCCTCCTCAATGAATGCCCAATCCATCTACACTTTCCCCTACAAATTTGTTGACCGGTCAGCTCGTGGTTGGTTTGTTCCCAGTCAGAGTTTCTTGTTACTAACTCTTTCTGGCCATTTGATCTTCATTATGGAACCAGCGAAGGAAGTTATTGATAAATTCTGTAACCTGTTGGAAATCCTTTTCGTGACACGCAGTACAAGCTTCTGACCCATATTAGGAGGACCGACTTGACATTGGTGTTGAGAATTCGAATCTTATTCCTTGTGGTGAGTGCGTAAGATTTTCAAACTGGTTTCAGGTTGATGATGTAGGTGTATCTTGCTTTTTCGATTCTGGCCTGGTTTGACATATTCATCCGTTCCTCCTGTAGCTGAAACAATGTTTCCTAGACAAGTGAAGGAAGTAACCTCTGTTAAATCTCTCCTATCCATGGTGATTGGTGCTGGTTGTTGTTCGTTGGTTATCTTCATTATCCTCTTCTCTATGTGCACCTGCAGCCATGACTTCGCTGCCTCTTCAGCCAGTTTGTTGGTTTTCGCTTGCAAGTCTTCGAGTTTCTGTGACACTAGACATATATCATCTGCGAAATCCGGATATTCTAGAGTCTTCTTATCGGTCAGTGAGGCGGATTCCTACCTCCTCAATCCCATGCACAGTATTCCACCACAATTAAGAATATCATCCGTGATAATAGGCAGGCAGCCTTGTCTTATTCCTGTATTCACTTCGAACGCTTCGTTGAGTTTCCCGTTGGGCATCACCTGACACGCGGGACTGTCATATAGACAGCTGTTGAATGAGGTTGATAAAGATTTGGGCGTTGCACGCTGTAGTATTGAAGTAGTTTCCAAATTACTTCTTGGTTTACCCTGTCTGTCGAAGGCATTTTCGAGGTCAATGAAGGTAGCTGGTGTAGACGTTTGACTGCCATTCTATTCTTTGTTCGATGACGATGTGTGGCGATGCAATTCGATCAGCACATAATTTGCATTTCCTGAATCCAGCTTGTTCCGGTGGGTGGCGGAGTCTCGTATTCAGTGCGTCTTTTATTCTCTCCAGGATGATGCGATATAGTATTTTACTTGGCGTGGACAAGAAAATTATCCCATGCCAATTCTAGAACAGGCATAAGTCGCCTTTCTGTGGCAGCTTGACGAGATAGTTCCAATCAGTAGGCGCACTTCCTTCTTTCGAAACCTTTTCCAGTAATGGCGCAATCACATCTGCAACAGCCTCTGGTTCCATTTTCAGTGCTTCGGGGGCAGTTCTATCTGATCCCACTGCCTTCCCGGACTTCAGTAGCCTGATCGCATTTAGTGTTTCAGCTTTCGTTGGGGGACTGGTGTCCACTGGCAGGCAGTTCTGTGCGTACTGTTGGTGGTGGTGGTATTTCTGGCCGAGTTGCATGTGATGGTCGATTCAAGAGTCCTTTGGAGTGATCAGCCCATTGTGTTATTTGTTTCTCCTCCTTGGTAATCAGGTTCCCTTGAACGTTTTTTACGGCTGGCATCATCTGGGTTGATCTCTTTTAGGATAGAGACCTGGTTATCTGAT